CTATTTAGCATACAGACTTCCCTGGCAACTGAAATACCTTCCCCTTTGGTTAAAAAATGGTGAGTTACCAAAACCTGAAGAACAATAAAAAATTATTTTCAGACAGTGAGTGCCCTAACTGGAAGATGATGATTAGAAGCTCCTTGCTATAAGAATGGAAACATAGCAGTCAATTATTAAAATGACATGCTCACTGGTTAAGTGTTTCATCTGGCTGCACCACAAATTATTGTAGACTTATGATCAGTTTGTACCTGTGGAGATAACAATGAAATGTTGGAATGCTACTTGGATAAGGTCTCATCAAGCACAGGCACAGGTGTGCACAGACCCACACTGCCCTTGGTCAAGGGACTGTACCTTAACTGCTCGAGCAGACCAGATTTGAAGGAGAAAGTTTAATAGAAAAAGCAATATTGACCATATTAAGGGTATTCAGACTCCTCTGGTCTTTCAAGATTTTAATATTTTTCTCCCTTACGCATGATTTTTCCTTAAAAATGGCATTTAAAGAGCCCTTCAAATAGACATTATGGCACACACTAGCCAAGGCTTTAAGCATAGCAAGGCAATGAAGAGCAGTCATTTCCCCCCTTGTACAGAAGCATTATTGTAGCTCTGTAAGCTACAATAACAGTCATCTTGCTCCTAGTCAAACAATGCACACAACATAATGACCATTTTTGCAAGCTAACAGCTCTGCTTGCTGTACAGCACTAAAATGCATTTTCCCCAAACCCCCCATTGGCCAAACTACAATGATGGCCCCTCTGCTGGGACCGCCACAGAGCAGGAGTGCTGGGGCCCCCCAGCTGCACAGCACAGCTGTGGGTGCTTTGAAGAAAGCTCAGCGGGCACAGTCTGAGTGCCTCAGCACAGCTTGGGACACACAGCCACACAGCACTCCTAACCCACAGGACAAGCCTGGCCAAAGCTCCTCTGGTAATGCTACAACAGGGAAAAACACTGCCTAGCATTTGGTATGTCTCCATTCGTGCTGTTCAGTGCTATCATATGAACATGATGCCAGGCTGAAGCAAAAAGCAGCAGCTTATGCTGTAAGCATTCTCGCTGTAATTTTGTGCCCATAATACACATGCTGTATTTACACCACCACACTCAAGAATTTCAGACTTTAAGGTCTGCCTATGAAATATAATTCCTTCTAAAGTCATATGTAAACATCAAAATTTTCTGGTATTTATCTACCACATCTCTACCTGTGCAAGTTTTCTGACTGAATTATTTTCATGGCTTAATCTTTTTCATAAAGCAATTTCCTAAGAACTTGCAGAAGTGTCCATTGTTTTTGGGGAATACAAACAGAAACATTTATTTCTACACACTCTGAAGAGGAAAACAAACATTTTATTGAGAAAATATCACTGAATAGATATCAGTTGTTCTTTCTGAGGTTGAAAAATCCAGCACTGTGAATTACTCAGCACTATAGCAGTTTTTTGCCTTTCATCTCATTGACAGCATCAGTGACAAAATGACAACCAAAAAAGAGGGAGAAAGAGAGATAAAAGGACACACAAATATATTGCAACAACATTAGGTCTACACAGGTTGAGTATTGATGTGCTATGAGCATAGGATGGTCTGGAATGACACAATCAGGAAAAGGCAATGCCAAGAAGGGTTTTCTCTTTCTTATTAATTGATTATTCTCTTTGTTACCAGAAGGAATTTAGGCCAACTCTCCTGCTTTCCTAGTAGAGACATGATGTACAGTAAAAGAGGGTGTGGGGGGAAACACTGAAATAATTCAAACATCTAAGCTCCTTTTGTTTTTCTGAGGCATTGCACACTGCTGCTGGTTTAATAAGAATGGTTTAGGTGCTGCCTAACTGTGCCAAATTAACACAAAGCCTCTCCTTTGCAGCAGCTAAATGCTGGAACCCTGCAAAAACATGTGTAATATGTTTCACCTTCACAATGGTCAAATGTATTAATAATTATGCAGAAATCAAATGTAATGGAACATCTTATGATAAAAAGGTATGTTAAACTAAGGACTCTTCTCACAGTAAAAATCCCTTTGCTATTAAAAAGTGGTATTTTTTTTATGGTATAAACATTTTTCCCTTCCCCTGCCCCCCTCTCCTCTGTGAAGCATCCTCAGTAATAGCAGAAGATCCATATGTACTTTACAGCACAGGAAGTTCTACTGGGAGGGAAGGAGAGGGGGAGGAGTGGCAAAAGTAGTTATCAACTCCACATCACATATGAGCCAAGGCAGGATCCGCTTTCCAGACGCATTCCCAAACTGCTGCATGTACCTACAGCTGCCTCCACCCCGCGGCTCAAAGCTCCTTTCTTCTCCCATGCTGCTGATGGCACAACAGCAGCACCGATGGTTTGTGTGTCTGGGCAGCCTTCTTGCACAGAGTAAAAGGGGGAATGTGTACAGATTTTAAAGTACACCTCCCTGGTAAGAAGGCCAAGAACAGAGGAGGCCATTTCGCTGTATGAGCAGGCTTGCTCAAAGCCTGCAGCTGGCAGTGGATGGCAGATGGACATTTTCTTTCTCTCACCGCTTCTCCCACCAAAGCAGCAAGAGAGATGTTGCCAGGCCGCCTCTGTCTCTGCCTACAGCCCAAGATAAACTGCACAGAGGTGGGTGAAGAGCAGCACGTTGAAGCAACTGATAGAAACCTGTCTCCTTTCTGAAATACCTCTTCAGCTTCTGCTTTGGAATATGCTGCATAGTGGGGTGCATATTCTGTGATTTATCCTTAAGTTGCACCTTTTTACTGGCTATTTTTAAATAAGTATCTAAGCAATCTGCACAGTCCCTAAAATCCAGTATAATAATTATGTTACCAGTTATGGTAAACAATTCCCACAGTAATCAAAGGTAATAAATCACCATCATGGAAATTTCTTATAGTTGCAATAAGATTTTCAAAACATTTGATGTAAAACCAAAGCAAACAGATATTGCCAGTCTTTCCAGGAATTGTTCAACAGACAAACAAAGCTCTCAAATGAACTTACAGGTACTCTAGAAAATACTGACTGGCCAGAGGGAACCAGATTTATTTTCAAACAGATATTGAGTACTGAAATCAGCCTCACCCAGTGTCTGGTATTAAAGTGCACTCAGTAGCCTGCACTTTTCCAAAAATCTTCTGGTATCTGAACTTTTATGAAAATGTTCCCATGACTATGGCCACCAGGCTCTTCTGACATTTTGTCACAGCAGCTGCTTCCCTCCCTGACAATCCCACACACTCAGATGCAACAAAACAAGCAAAAACCTTACATCCCCTCTACTAGCATGCTTCCATAGGACTGCTGCCTGCAGAACTCCTGGAGCAGTGGAACAGAAGGGGCAGAGGAGCCCAGCTCTACTGCCTGGCCACCCCTGCACCCCTGCCCATGGTACAGGGCAGCATGGGGAGGGAAACCCACCACTTGAGCAGCAAGCCCTCTCCTTTGTAGTACAGCCTTTGCAGCCCCTTTCACCCCCAATTCAGCTCACCTTAAGTATCAAGCTCAATGCAGCAATGACAGTTCTCTGCTTCAAGCAGATTTGAGAACACTGAGCAAGGCACTGATATCCATCCCTGAAAGTACCCCCTGATCCTGGCTCAGCATCTAAATCAAGGGGAAAGAATCTCTGTGACCCTGGAGACTCGCAGCTCTTTTACCCAGAACATTTTCTGACCCTTCCTCTGAAAGGCCTGATCCTCCCATCACTTTCCCATTCAATTAAACAGTACTTAGATATGAAGAGCTGCTGATTTCAAACATTTCCTTGCTTGATTAAGGCTTGTTCATCAGAAACAATTCAGTGACGGGCCTTGGATGGATTAACTTAGCTAACTTGCATATATATCTTAATACAGACAAATGGGTTGTTTTTCTCTTATTAATATAAGCTATTATCTTTATTTCTGCTTTGAGTCATACTCTGAACCTCAGTCAAGCAAGACTTCTTGACTGCAGAAAAGAGCTGACTGAGGAATTAATCTTTACAATTTAATGGAACACGTATGTGTTTGCCTCAGTCTGATAATGTATGCAGACTATTATCTTGATAATAGTGGGAGAGCAGACTTCCTATTTGCAAATGACAGAAGGGAATAAACCAAAGGAAACTTTCATCTTCAGCTATCCCGTGCATAAAGGACTGCTTTCCCCATTTCCATTTCCACTTTCACTCTGCAAAGATTAATGTATTTGTTTTGAAGTATTTAGATTATCTCAGATTTAGTAAAACAATTTGGGATATTTCTTTTAATGAAATGTAAACTTCACACAAAACTTTACCTAATATTTACCTGATAGGCAAATTTAGAGTTTGCATTTTGTGCCATAAATAATACATTTCTGAACACTTTATGTAATCTACAGTAATTGATATAAAAATTACAGCTGACATCTACAAAATAAGTCCTAAGAAACAGAGGGTCCTGAAGAAAAATCTTCCATGTTGCATGCAAACAACAGAACACTTCTGCAAAGGCTATGGGACATTTCACACAAGACAACAGCAACAAATAGCATCTTGTAGTCACCATGCCAACAAACACACAGAGAAAGAAACACACAACTGGTGACTAAATATTTGGAAATATTATACAATAAATATTGCTATTCTCAAATATACAAAGAAGCTCATAACAAAAAAACAAACTTGGGATTTAGTACAATGAGAAAATGCTAAAATACTATATACCAAAACAAAAAATATTTTCTTCAATAAGTATCAAAAGTGAATTATACTTACTAGCAAAAAGAGCTACTATGAATACATTTTTCATGGATACCATTTTGATATAAGCATTAATATACCAAATTTGACAATGTAGTGTATTTTCCTTGTTTAAAGCTGAAATTTAGAAAACATGAAACATGCTTCCCTCAGAGTAGTAAAACAAATAGCTTGAAAAATCAGTGTTCCCTCCTTTCACAAAAATATGTGAGTTTTCATGAACATCAAAACGCAAGCACATTAAAAAAGAAAAACATAAATAGGAAATTCTTACTTTAACTTCCACTGTCTTCCCACCTTGCTCGATATGCCTCTCAAGATATTCAGAAGACAGCAGGTCACTGCAAGAAGACAAAAAAAATGAACCGTAAGCCTTGTGCATGTGTTGTACTCCTTCTCAGCAAGCACTGATTAAACATTTACATTTGAAAGGGTCAAAACCTGCAGGATACTTTTCCTAAAATGTTTATAAAAATCACTTAAACAAGCATCTCCAATAGAGTTACACAGTGCATGGGATACACTGATTTTTAACAGCAGAAGGTGGGACAAGGAAAACTGAGGGGAGTTTCTTCATGGAAGGTCGAAAACCAGCCACTGACACCGACTGTAATTCAAGAGATTCTTCTATTTGCTGCTAAAAGTGACCTGCACAGAAGTTAGGTGAACTTCAAAAAAAGAACAAATCAGAAGGATGGGAAGCCAGTTGGAATCTGAGGGAAAACAGCAGCTGTGTAGGCAGGTTTCAAAGGACGCAGTGGCACAACAATGCCATCACCTTGTAAGACCAAGACAGTGGGCTCAGGTCCACACCACACATGCTGGCAAAGCCATGGGCCCCAGGAGCTGCAGCCCAGGCAGGCTCACAAGGCAATGCCAGAGGAAAAGGCTCTGGGCAATAGCAATCCCAGCCTCCAAGTACTCAAGGACTTGGAACAAACACCAAGGAGAAAAAACAATCAGACCTGAGGCAAACATATATAAATTAAATGCAGGCTGTATTTACTAAGCCATTCAAATGCTAAACCAGTCAAATTATCTTTCTCATAGTTATTTTCTAGTCAGGCAAACCACAGAATCACAGAATTTGTAAGATGGAAGAGACCACATTATTTACATCATAAATTTCACTAAGCAGGTTCACAGACTACAAAACTTTACTGAGATTAAATCAGGATAAAGTCTTGCTATTGTTCCACCTCAGTGACAATTAAGCTGGAAGAGATGATGCCTTGGTGAAGAAAGCCTGACAAGAGGCAAGCTGGCCAATGGGGCAGGAGGCAGAGAGCACAAACCTGCTCAGCAGAAGAGGCAAAAATTTAGTATTTCTCCTTCAAATAGCAAAACACCTTTGTGATGAGGGAGGGCAGGATCAGCAGAGCAGCCCCAGGGCAGTGGCTGCTCAGCTTTCCAGAGCTTTGCCCTGGCAAAAAAGGCAGCAGGACCATGGACATTTTTGCTCACAGAGACATTGGTGACTGCCCTGAGTGAGCCCCAAGTAAGACAAAGTTGGAAGAACAGATCTTCCAATATCATCCCTAAAAATTGCCAGCTTGATATTTGCATTAATTTCCTAGGCACAAAATCCACAAGCATTCCAATGAAATATGCTGATAATGTTAAATTGGAAAGCACGGAAAATAAAAAAGATTGAAAAAGACTCCCATAGGAAAGACCTGGATGATCTTCAGGATTGGTTATTAGAAATGGGATCAAATTCAATTGTATAAACAGCAAATTTATGCACTTAAGGGCTGGAGGGAATTTCTATTACATTTTTTGGAAGGCCTGGTTTATAAGTAAGAAAGACATTACCATACTTGTTTCTGGCAAAATGATTTGGTAGATCAATAGAATGTCTTCCTGGAAAACACAACTGTCATCCCAGAATACATCAAAGATGTATTTCCAGTCAAACTGAGGTATGATTAATATCACTGCCCAAAGGAGACCTCTTTTCAAACACTGCAGACAGGTACTGGACAGCTTTGCTTACGAAGTTCCATTACCTGGAAACACAGAGGGATTCCTGAAGTCTACCAAAAAATTGAGTTGTGAGGGAATGCGAATGCACCTCAATTTACACACCACAATGCAGGAGCAACTAATTGGGCTACAGAAGATACTGGCAGAATCTCAATGGCAAAAAGACTGTCAATGAGCCAATGGAAACTGGATGCTAAAAAAAATCCTTTGTATCAAAGTCTAATGGATAGAGGCAACAAAATGAGGGATGCTACCAAATTTGCGAATGGAAGCATCCATGGGACACTTGTCCATGGAGGTGGGGTTTCGTCTGACTCAGTGAGTTCATAGCTGGTCGCTGCTGAAAGCTGGAAGTCTCAATGCCCCCTGAGGAGCAAGCACTGAACCTACCTCGTGTCAGCACTAACACTCATCACAACACTCTCAGAGCCAGAGCTAACACTCATCAAAATACTCTTGGTGTCAGCACTGGCACTCATCAAGGTACACACGGGAGGGTTCAACAAAACCATGCTTTTGCTGCATTAGGTACTGAAATCCCTTGAAAAGAGGTACAGTCAGCTCCAGAGCTGATGCAAAGGAGGGAATGAGCAGCTCTCAATAAGGGTGAAAGAAAGAATAAGTGACTCCGTTGGCCACTGCAGAACCAGCACGAACCCCTTTAATTCTGGCCAGTCCCAATATCTACATTGATGCCTGGCACACTGCCTGCAGATGACCCATTACTGAGGAGCACCTAATAGAGATGCTATTGATTCCTGATTACAATACTCTGATTCCTCTTAGAAGCAAATATTAAATATTTAGAATACTCGTGTCCTGAGGGAAGCTCAAAGACTTCTATAAGGTCTTGTATGCATTTTCCAGATTTAGTAATTTAGACAGATGTTCTCTTAAAATGTATTTTGTTTAGCTTGCTGAAGTTAGTGCTATAGTTTCTTGGCATTGACTACACTCTTTCAGCAGAAGTTTATTGTCTCCCTGATTTTTTAAGATTTTCTAAAGCCTTCTGAGTTTACGTTCTTGTAGCAAACTTTCTCACACAACTTTCTGTAAATAACTTATTGTTTTTGCATTCTTTCATAGAGGAATTAAAATTTGATGTACTGGTAGATTGTCCAGTGTCATTGGAGAGGTGGCACTTTCACCCTCCAATCCACTATCACCTTTGGAAAACTATAAATGTTAGAGTCAAAAATAAACGTCTCTCTTTTACCATCACAAGAGCAGAAGCGTGCATCGTGTTTTCTTGTGTCCTATAGTGACATTTTATGCTTCCATAACTTCAATAAATATTCATTTATAGCTTAAGGCTCTACCTTTACTCTTTGTTATTTCAGGGGGACTCAGTTAAACTAATGTCATCCTCTCTATTGGATGGACACAAAGGTTTTCATGCCAAGAAAGATGCAAGAGATTATAAAATGTAAGATAGTAAAGTAAGTATATAGTACAAAGACTGACATCAAACAGAATGGCTTAACTGAGGAAGACCTTAGAGATGTATTTGGAGGGATGACAAGGAGAAACACAGGTTCTTCTCATGTGGGTCTAGCAAAATTATTTCTTTTTAAAAGACACTACTGTTAATGTTTTAATGTTCTGGAAGATCATGTTATATTCTCAAAAATCTTGAAATTTTGTTTGGCATGAGAAATAAAGACATTGATCATTCTCTGCCTTGTACAACACAAGAATTAGAAGGTAGCAAAAGAGGTCCGTAAGCTCAAAACTATGTAAAAAGAGCCTTTTCTGGCACAGCTGCTGATTACAATGTTCAACATAGTGCAGGAAAGCACTATGCTAGAGGTTTGTACTGCTTCAAGCTGGGAATGGACAAGTTAGTGGACATAACTGGGAGCTGCCAAATACACAGACACTGTACCCGACTCCAAGTGTTGGAGGCCTGGAAAAGAGCTCTGGAGAAGCCTCAAACATGCTTGTTCAGCTCTCCCACTTTTCCCTCACCACCAGCCCTGGGCCACTGGGCCTGGGCAGTTGGCCAAACATCCTCTGACCTGGCCTGGGCTCTGCCTGCACCTTGGAAGGGTCCTGCTTCTCCTCAGGGTTACCCGGTGTCCTGCGTCTTCCAGCTCCAGGACTGCTGAATGGTCAGTCAGCTGCTCTTCTCCCACCCACCACCCCAGTGATGGGTATCCTCAGACTGTTCAAGTTGTATTTACTTTCAAAGTAGCCAAAAGAACAATTTCTAAACTGGTCCATCAGTTTTTTCCTCCTGTTCAGTCCTTACTTTGAGGACAAAAGGGCTGGAAACAGTTGGGGAGCTGCTGGCATTCCCACCCCTCTCAAGGTCTGTCACAAGTGCCGTGATTCCCAAAATGAGCCTGTCTGGAAGGGAAACACCACAAGGTCACCTGCCTGCACAGCTCCTGGGGACTGAGTCCACAGCTTGCAAACAGACCACAGATTTGAAATGTAGAGACATTTCTAAAACCTATCATAAGTAACATGGCAGGATATGTCTGAGAATATTTTATCAGTATAAAAACCCATAAATTAAGCCATGTCATGCTTTTTTATTATGATTTACAGCACTGAAAATATCATAAAAACCACAACACTCTTGTAGATCAAATAATGCAACCAGTGCTATTAAAAACTAAGCTACAAACTAACATTATACACAATCTAATAAACTCAGGCTAGAAGGTATCACGTCCTAGGTGGAGTCATGTTCTGTCTGCAGCAGTACAGGCACAGAACTGCATCATTTTAATAGAAGGCCTTCCTTTAAAACAAAAATCTAGATTAAAATACTTGTGAAACATGATTAAAGTTATTTAAGCAATACAAGACAACAACCATTAAAATAATATGCATTTCAACATAAATAAATACACACTTTCCTATGGTAGAAATGAAACAGGAATAATTTAGCTTGCCTGCCAATCTATCCTGGAAATTGTCTTTGTCAGTTTAAGTGGTAGTTTTAGTATAAATTATAAAATAAAACTGACACATTAAAAAAATAAAATTAAAAAAAAAGCAGATTGTGAAAAAAAAATCTTGGAAATGCGAGGGATGGAAAAATTACAGAGAAAAAGCACCAACACTATAATTGACAATATTGCAGAATGAGATTTTCAGAAATATTTGCTGAGGCATTGGTACAAAAGTTTTCAAAAGGCATGGAAAAGACTGCGTATGTTAACACCTAAAAAGAAAATATTTCACAGGAAAAAAAGCACATGTGATCTGTTGCTTTTACAAGGAAAAACACTGCTATGCTAATAATGGCAATTCTGTTGTCAGAGGTTTGTTATTTCAGTGTACACAACTTAAGTAATGTCATTTTGTTTACAGCAGCAGCATTTTTTAAGCATTATCTAAAGTT